TGACATCGGATCTGCACCCCTGCAGGTGGTGCAACTTGGTGTGTGTGTGTGTGCCTGCAGTGCTGTGACAGAGAGCCTCAGAAAAAGAGAGGAGGGGGTGTGTTTGTGCCCAACGTTGCTGCTCAGTCTGTGTGAGCCTAATGAGCCTCACGACGGATTGTTTATCCAGGAAATGTCCTGGTGCTCCCGATGGCCAGTCCGCCACTGTCCTCGATGACACAAAATGTGGTTCCCTTCCTTTCACAACTAAAGGGTTGCCCTATAACATTTACTGAAATGTTCAAGGGTCAAGGTTTCACTTTCCAAAGCATAAACACTAATAATATGGTTTAACTAAAAAAAGCCCTGTGCTGGTTCAAAACGCAGTTTCTTTGGGTATGTAACACATATTAGGCTACCCTAATGTGACGTGCGTTTGTGTAATCTTACTTTCTGAGCTGTTTTTGTTTGTGTAAAGAGTAGTTCGAGAAGAAAATACACAGAAGCGTCAAGTTAATTTTAGTCATTATATCCGGCATAATTTCACTTTACAGTTCTTTTTATTTTCCAGTGAAGAGGAACATATATCAAATTTTTGATGCATAATTTTATAATATTTGCCCTCAAACTGTGAAATGAAAAAATATACTGTGGTCATTGTCACTTTTTTTCCCCAACTTCCCTTTTCTTAAGTTCACCACAGGAAACACACCCAAGAATTTCACATCAGTGTTACATTCTAATACATTTGACAAAGCACCTCAAAGCTCTATAACCTCTTCTGGGTCCCTCTCACAGTGAGTATTTTCTTTATGCAGTAAATTGCAGAATACAGCCTGTGTAGGATGTAGGCTACAGATGTGATAGCTACTGCTGTAAAACTGAATTCACTCTAAGATTTCAGGATTATGTCAGTTAACCTCAGTCTTTCTTGGATCAGATGAAGCTGCCGGGCCTCATTAATCTTTGTCTCATAGTGATCCTGGCCTCTCTCTCAAAAGGTGGGTGACATATTGAGTTGATGTGTTTGTTTTAAATTTTATCTTATACTTTTAAAGTATGAACTTTAATAAATATATTTCTGGTTTGGTTTTGAACACAGGTCAAAAGTGGAGCATTAATGTCCCCAGACACATTAATGCAACAGTGGGCTCACATGTGACCATACCATGTACTTTTACCCATCCGTACGCAGGCAACACACCAAATGTTCAAGTTTACTGGAAAACGCTTTCTGAGAAATTTAAATATAAAACCAATGACAAGGACGATTTTGCATTCATTTTTCACACAAATGAAACATTTGTGATTGAGAAGTACAGAGGAAAGACCATGCTCATCGGGGATAAAGACAAAGGAAACTGCTCCCTCAAGATCAAAGACATCAGATTTAATGAACCACGCATCTATGTGAGAGTTGTCGCAAATAATACACGATTCAGTTTCAAAAGGGAATTTACCAACATTACTGTGCCTGGTAAGAATTTAAGTAAAACATTTTAATCATACATGCTTGAGTAAAGTAAAATTAAATGAATACCTTGCATTTCTCCCACATTACCAGGGGGTATGCAGGACAATTCTTTACCTATAACAGGTAAAACCTTCACTTTCTATTATCATTTTTACTTTTATATATTTGTTTCTGTATTCCTCAATTTGCTTACAAGCTGTGTATGAGCTCTCAATAAAGAAAGTACCCCAGGGTAGAATGGAACTATAAAAATATAAACTATAATATTTTTTATTTTTATTTTTTAGATATCACATTTACCACTGAAGTAACCACAAGTAAGTTGTACTTTTATACAGCTTATTTCTCAGGACAGTTTCAGAATAATATTAAGTATTTCAAAATCTGTAATACAGTTTAGGTCGCTGCTCACAGAAGTTGTTAATTTCTTTACAGTTGAGATGACCAAGATGACCTCAACACCATCAACACAAATGTATACGGCCATTTTTGTACCAGTTGCTGCACTTCTGATCATTATTTTTGTTGGTGGAATTATCTTTTGCATAAAACACAAAAGGTAACATCACTATAATGGGCTTAATTGTAAATTAAGTGCGGGGCACAGATTCTTGTGTTTTTCTTACGTAAACAATGTGCACACATTTTAAAGTGCCCTTTCACTCAGATATGTGATTTTTTTATTGTTACTTTACTTGAATGTTTGAGCTTCACTGTGCAGAATGATGTATTTGCAGAGTACAATTTTGTGATATCACAACTAAAATAAAGAATATATGTAATTTGCATTTGATTCGCAATAACTTCCAGTAACACACCTCATGGCAATAACCTATTTTCACAGGTCAAAATCTTTTACCAGGGAGGACTCTGGATATTATGCAAATTTTAGAAGAACATCATCAGACCAAGCCAAAAGGTTTGTTTCATGATACAATGGTTAAATTGGAAAATGTATATTATATCACCTCTGTGTATAAGTATGAGCAATACAAAAAGTGTAATAAAGTTAAAATTTTAATACTTTAATAGTATAGTATAGTATAGTATAGTATAGTATATATAATAATAAAGTTTAAAACACATGAAGATTGAGAATGGACAGTTTTGACTTTATAGAGGAAAAACTATCAAATGTATCTGACTTGCTGACTTATGACACCTCTCTTTTGTCTTTTCAGAGAAGGATCTTACAAAAAAGAAGATAAGAAACTTCCTGAACCAAAGGCCATTGATGAACCTGTCTACATAAACATGGAGGTAAAATACCTCGACTCAGTTGGGTTTTAATATCCTAAGAAGCTGGTAATAAGACATAATTCTAATAAAACAAAATCTAGAGAAATAATTCAAATTATATAATAGACATATTAGAAATTCTAAATTTGCCCTATGGTGTTTTCTTGAAAAAGTTATGGTTATCATTCAATGTTGCTTTCTGCACAATCATTAACTACCCTTTTGAAAAGCGTCTCTTTACTGCAGTGGTTTGGCTAAAAAGCAAAAAGTGGAACATCTGGTCACCCTACATGCACCTGAGACAGACAAAACAGGGACCCACTTATATAAAAACTGCTCAATAGCACTACTAGAGGTCTGAAACTCCACAGGATACCTTTAATGTAATCCAACTTCTGTCTTTGCAGGCCCCTCCAGATCAGATGGATCAAAGTATGGATCACACAGAAGGTGTATATGCAAATGTGGATTATTTAAAATAATAGAAAAGGTACATTTCAAGGCCTATCTATTTGGACTTAAGCTTCATCTTAAATTCTATTTCTGTATTCTGCATTGTTTTATGCACATGTTCATGTCTACCAAATGTGTAAACATGTGTCATGGTGTGTGCAAAAATAAAGTACGCATGTAAGATTTGAAAAATTATAAACCTACCCTTTAAAGCCTGTCTGATACTGTAGAAATTACATATATATTGGACAATTTCACCCCTTACAATTTACATGATAGGGATGATAGTAAACCTATTACATATATCACACTTTTGAGACTATTGCCTTACCTAGGATGATTACTTTTCATGGTTGTTTTTATTGTTTACATGTTGCAGTACAATAAGGAATGAGGCTCAAATCTGCTAGTGTGTAATATTACCACTAAGTGACACAGGAAATGTGGGATAATGGCTTAAGCATTTCGCACATCAGTTTTGCAAGCTGTTCTTAACATCTCATGACTGGAGCTTTGTTTTCTGCAGAATGCATTCATGTTATCTTCTCAAAAGACAGGACGTAGGGGTCATGGCCTGTATATCTACACTTGACACATTTTGAGTTTAGTGAAATAAATAATTCCAGTCTTTCTCAATATGTTTGCCAATTCACTTCCTGTGTAATTTGTGCCAGAGCTGAAACTTCTGTTTTCTCTTCTTATGCAGTGACAGTTTAGGGACTGTACCAAAAAAAAGGGTTAAAAATGAAAGTCATTGTTTGCCTTCAGTGATCTATGCTCCTCTTCCACTGCACTACATCTGTGTGTATAAAAATGACCTAAACATATATTAGCCAACTGTCTAAATGCCTGTGCTAAATAAAGTGGAAGTAAGTAAAGATGATGCTGCCACTGTTTTCTGCTTTTACTTTGGTGAGCAACAGGCCCTTTGCATTTCAGACTCATACTGAATTATGACTCTTCAGACTACACAAAGAAAATACAAGAATTGGAAAGTGTAAGTTATTGTGTTACTATGACTGAATGTGGTGGGCTTTGTTAAATGTTCTACTGAAAACTTTACTTTTTCACGCTGAATCTAGCTGGTGGTCAATGGCAAATTGTGAAAGAAAACTCACCACAAGCAAGACTTATACAAATTTCACTCTCGCACATTTCTAAGTTATTAATTATTAATGACTCATCAATGACGAGTCTTCTTTTAACAAGAACTAGTTTTGCATTTACAGCGTCACCTCATAGTCTTGTCATAAGAAACTTCACCATTATGGAGAAAAACTAAATGAATACACTACGTCAGTGGAAACAGGCTTTGGAAGCTAATTTGCACCAAACAAAGGAGGCTGACAAGATTTTGAGGAGGAATGTGACTTTCTCGACCTTGGTGGTATCAGTGTCCTGCATATTGGGCACTGGTTTATCAACAGTAGCTCAGAGACTGTTGTCTTCCCAGGTTTTGTCTCTCAGATTTTTTTAGTGTAAAGTTAGTTTTTACTGCATGCCTATTCTGTAATTCTGTTCTCTTATGTGCCAAACTAAACTAAACAAAGGATTTGTCCATACTTTAAAATAATATATACAGTTAATAATCTTATAATATATTAGTTCCATGTTGTAGTGTTTGCATCCCTGTCTCCTCGAAATTACCATTCACCTGAATGTTACCTGCAACAGGGTAGCAGCGGAATGCCACAACCGCAGGCAACACCAGGCTAATGGTAACAACGGATATCGTCGGTAGACGACAGGCCGATACCCACACTTACCAGGAAGGACGATAGGATGAGCTGTTGCATAGCAGGACAGGTCGTCATACGGAGGGGTAACTCAGTCCAAAGGATACATGCTGAGAGTCTTGCATGGAAGGCTAAGAACATCAATGGCAGTGATGTGTGAACCGAGAGGCTTAATATTTATTTGGTCTTTGATGATACATCGATGAGTTGAGCACCACCGATGATGTGCACATGTAGATACAGCAAGTTGGCATCGAGGTGGGAGTGGCGCAAAGGTAGACGGTGAAGCATAGGGTTAAGGAGAGTGTGTAAATTCTGGCAGACGCATGAAAATGATTTGATGACGAAAACCTTCACCCTCACCCCCTCAATAGAGACGGCATCCTGACGTCCCTTGGAATACAAAAATATAATTAAAAATCCAAAGAGAGTTTTGGTTTGAGAGGGTGGGAGGGTCTCGAGAGGAGGTAAAACATCCCTCACAAGAGAGTGCACGTCCTCTCCTCCATCAGCTGGGTGGGTGGAGCGGGTTCTGGAGGAAGGAATGAAAATATTAACTGGCAGCAGACGAGCAAACAATAGGTTTGGTGATAACAACTATAGCTCGCTATGTATATTCATCTGTCTATTCATTAGACTTTATTATGAATCATACCTATATATATACAGGCTCTAAATCCTAATTACTATAGATCAGTCTCTATAATAGTCGTAACACAACATCTGTTAAGATGACGACTTCGTATTTGTGAACCTATCACCTCATTGACTTAATTGACTTTGCATAATTAATCTAATGGTATACTACATATACTTAGAGCACTACACAACTCAATACATTTGTATTATTGTACTGTTCCACAATGTAGATGAGGATGCTAAAGAAGGCTACACTGTAACATGTCCAGTTACCAAATGATACTAAGGTATAAGGCAGCAGAGTACCTTAATGACGTCACTGCTGATAGAACTTGTCCTAGCTCACACCACACTAAAGTAGCAACGATGAACCAAAAGAATGAAGTTCCTCGTCCCGCTCGCACAATGATCCAGCAAAGAGCCAACACTTCTTTACTCTACATCCTGACTAGATTAACCACAAAGTACTTTATACTAAGTTAACTATCAACTAGGTTAATAGTTACGCTAAATAATAACGCACGACCTCACAACTACATACTTAATATTATTAAATTGCTCAACAGTCTGCGCTTATGCAACAGTTGAGCAGGCTGAGTCAACCCAAACAAAAATTCTTTAATTGTCTTGTACTACTGATATCTGATGTATACCTAATAGAGCGCTGAGTCGGCTTACTAGCACCGTCCTAGTTCATGATTCCAACTGAGCGATGGGCCTTTGCTGCATGGCGTCCCATCCGTCGTCTTCCCCTCTTAGACCATAACCCATCTTAAGCTTTGCCTGTCCATACTAAAAGGCATACAAAAGCACAGAAATAAAGAAATAAATTCCTCATCACTGCCAATAAATTGAAAAATGCTAGTCACAACTTGTAAAATAAGATGGTGAAAAGGTTCATCAGACTGTACATTAGAACATAACAAATCAGACTATACATAATGTCTTATTAAATCTCAGAACAATCAGCTCAGCTATTGACATGACTCTTGAGTGAAAGAGTACAAAGAAGATCCAACATCAAATGATCTAGTAAAAACAACACTAGTAGCGTATTATGATAAATTGTAAGTTCAGACAACAGAAAAGCCCCCATGAATGACTGCAGGTTGAGCCAACCAAAGATCAAGTTCCTGATAACGAAGGAGCACACCAGTATAGCAGAGCTGACAGCCCAGCCGATGAATGCTGCCTACCTAACCTGCCTGCCTGCAATTATTGCACCATTGGGAGCAGGAGGTATATATTCCCGGTGGATAGTGCAAAGTGTTCAATATTACTAGCTCTTTCTCAGGGCCCTAAATTAAACGTCCATATCTGCCATAGTTCGGAGGAAAGATACAATGGAGAGGAACATGAAAAACCTTCAGGCAGAAAAAAAATGTGTAGCCTCATCTATCCAAATCAGTTCTAGCAAACTAAAAAAGGAGTTTTTAGTTGTTCACTCGCAGTTTAAAAGTAAAGTTATCACCACCATGATAGTTTGGTCAAATTGTGGGAAAAGCCCTGAGGTGTTTTGAAATGTGTCATTTAACTGACAGAAGATCAAAGAGGAAGCTGGTCAACTATCCATAGCTGATAAAAAACGTGTACCTAAAAGTGTAGAAGTGGACATGTCCACACATTTCAAACCACAACCCCAAATTACTCTCCTATGACCTTAAACAGCCATACATTGTAAAAAACAGTAATCACCTTGGAGAAATATCATATTCTCATTAACATGTCTCAAACATCCCTGAAGCCTCACATTAGTGCCCAACACTAGTCAGCCACAGTGTGTAATGTTGCAGAAATAAATAAAGTTTAAGCTAAGCAGCCTAAAGTTGTCGGTGTAAATCTTTTATTAGATCTAACAAGTTGTTATATTAATCACATTTGTATCAATGAAACACCCTTCTGTATAACCTTATACTTCCATAATCTTCATGACATTTTTTAGATGTATCAATAGTTCAGTGCTTGAAACGACAGTGACTGTAAAACGCAAAAATGATATGAGCCCAGTGTCTGTTGGTACTGTTTAACCATGGCACCTCCCATGAAGGCATCTGTAGGTATAAATTGGCCTTTTTCCTAAGAGTAACAAAGACACAACAATTCTAATTTCATGTAATTACCCACTAATGAATCCTGTATACTTATGACAGTAGGAATAAATAGTTCAATGCCCAAGCTATTTTATCAGTATATAAAGAGATTATTATTACTTTAATAATCAGATTAATCTTATAGACTGTTCTTTATGATGTCAAAGTGGTAATAATAAATAAAATATTCTGTTAATCTTGTTTTGTGACACTTAAATGAGCCAAGTAAGGCAGTTTAGTGCATCCCGTAAGCAGTATGAGCTAAAGATTAGCTAACTCCCCTGATTCAGCCTTTCCCCTTCAAAACTGCGAAGAAAAAACCACGTGAAGCCAGAAACCGCAAACAATGTGAGGCCGCCCATATCTAGAGCCAGCTGTTCTGTGCTACTGTTAAGACATGCAGCCTCAATGAAAAGGCACCTGAGCATTAAACAAAAACATTTAAAAAACCAAATTAGCACTTAGTGGCGGGGACAGATGACCTAAATTATAATGAGCGCAAACTGTATTAGATCATTACACACTAATCATACCTGAGAATCATATTCATATTCAAGATCATAAGGTAGTCCAAGATTTGTAATGTTTAAACTGGCTCAATCTTAAGTAATCTCCCGTCAAGAATGTTGAGGGTAACTGATCCATGAAAGTAACACTGATTAGAAGAGTAATTTCTACTGATTGTTTTCATAATTCAATCAGCCCTGTAGTCATATACTTGTAGCAAATGTAGCAGACAATTAAACTTTTCAATGTTTTCAAACCAATTAACAGACCTGAAAGGTGGATGATTGTTGGCCATGCTCCATGGCTCACATCAGAATCGTGGAGCTTGTCGGCCTCCTTCTTGGTCCTCCTATCACTGCCACGTTGGCAGTTCAAAGGCTGTTCACCAGTCAGCAGGTAGAGGGTTAGAAGATTCAGGGTTGACGTGGTTTCCCCACCGTCCAAGTTATTCAGGCTTTCTTTGATTGGAGCGTGATAGTTCCGGTGCGACTCCAGGTGATTGAGGGGAATAGATGGGTCACGCTTGAAGACACAGAGCAGGTGCAGTTTGCTCTTATGTTATCATCACATTCACAACAAAAGATGGAGCGGCCGGTGACTCTCTCTGCCAGAGTTGAAACATGTATCTACCAACATGACTCCACAATACAAAATGAAATTATCATCTTTACTCGCCTAAAAAATGATTTATATATTTCTATTCAAATACTCATCCAAAAAATCCAATTGAGCACTCTTGGTGCTGTGTAGGAGAATCTTTTCCGTATGCGTGCCATTTCGATCCTGATACGTAGATAAGGCCGACATCATGCCTGCCCTCCACGCCATCCACAACATGGTGCAATTGCGGGATTTCAGTTTTCCCCCAAAAACTGGGGTTCTTTTTTGGTAGCTCCAGAGCCCCAGTTTCCTTTGGGGAGATTGTTCGAGACAATCTTCTTCCCTGTCACCCAAATCCCTTTCCCACCCATTTTCAGGATCTTAATTTGAGTTGGGTTTGGGTAATGTAGTTGCAGGGGAATAACCCACAG